GTTTCACTAGGGGTTCCACCGCTGCCAGAATTAATCAACCCTGAACGAGGATTCCTCAAAGTGTTGTTGTTTGGAATAGACGTGGGTGGAACAGCAGGCAATTGGCGAACAAAAGCTTGGAGAGCGTTATTGACTTGAGAAGCAATAAGTTTTTGCAGAGCCTCATTCATGGTTTCAACGTTTTCGAATTGAGCCTGTCCATCTGTATAAGATCCATCAGGAGTGCCTTCACGAGATCGTCGTGGGGAGCCTCGTGGAGAACCTTGTGGAGAGCCTTGTGGGGAATCTCCCTGAAGTTGTTGGACTGTCTGAATTTCTGGGTTTCCTTGAATGTTGTCATTGTTGTTCGACATGATTGATGCAATCAAGAAAATTAGATTGAGATATGCTTGATTATCAGATTCCCGGTACCGGAACCAATTTGTTTAACCAAAAAATAGAATTTCGGTTAAAACTAGAAATTAAGAGAAAAAATCGGGTTACTGATAATCAGGAGACGAAAAGAATAATGAATTTTTGAGAATAATAAGGCAATAAATAAGTTTGTATTTCAATGTAATCTCAATGATATTTCGTGTCCTTACAAATGCTGAGATCTTCTCCTTTTAAAATTGATTTTTCTAGGAAAAGGTATAATGTCTCAGTCTTAAAGAGGCAATTATGAGCATTAAATGACATTAAATGAAACGTTACACAATCATTCTTATTCAATGCTGATTCGCTAACGTATTTGACATTTAATACTGAATTTAGACTCCTTTATGCTATCAGATTCATATCTTCAATTCCTTCTGACCTCCTGGCTTTAATTAAGTTAAATAGATACGAGACTCGTATCATTTGAATAGCATCTCGTGCCTATTTAACTCTCTTCTCTTCGTATCTGATATCGCCCGTGCCTCTCAATTGATCATCATGTTTTGACCATTTGACCAGCCCACGTGTCATGCCACGTCACCTTCAATACAAATTCAGTTTTTTCCCAATACATATACCATCTTACTTTAGTCATAGTTCCTGTAAATATAGTTTTTGTGCTTTATTCTTTCATGTATAATTATCTTTAATTATTTATTTATTTAATTAGTTTATTAATAGTGACTTTTAGGATTAATGAGGTGACCGTTAGAATGAGTAAAAAGAGTTTTAGCTTTAGAGAGTGCTACAATCCTTCAATAATCGTTAAACTATCTTAATATCTTGTTATACTCACGTATAAATTAAGACTTAAGAGAATAGGATAGAACAAATATAAATGCGTAACTTAAGAATGATGTTAAGCCATTGCCTGAACAATAAATAAATTCATATGAACAACAGAGCAACACTAAACCTTATTAGATATAATTTGGAAAGAAGTGAACTACATATAACATCTAATAGAAAACATAATTCGATATTTCTTAGCTACTAAAAATATTTGAATGAACAGAAACATGAGAGTATCTAGCGTTCCTCTCGGGGTTAGTGGCAAAGAAGACAGGATACCAAAACAAAAGTACCATTAAGTTCCTTTGGACATGATGCTTATTTTAATATGTGATTGAATCACGTCATATTTTATCACGGAGGATTTTGCAGTGCTTTAGTCTCTATTTGCTACTCATCTTTCTTAAGAGGACTTAAAGGGTTTAAAGAATAGAACAAAGTATTGGAAAAGACAAGAAGAAGGACAAGAATTCAACATGGAAAAATTAGAAAAGTAGAGATTGAGATTGAAATTTGAGAGTTATGTTCGCGTTGATTTTCTTTTTCCTTTAAANTTGTTGTTTGGAGCAGACGTGGGTGGAACAGCAGGCAATTGGCGAACAAAAGCTTGGAGAGCGTTATTGACTTGGGAGGCAATAAGTTTTTGCAGAGCCTCATTCATGGTTTCAACGTTTTCGAATTGAGCCTGTCCATCTGTATAAGATCCATCAGGAGTGCCTTCACGAGATCGTCGTGGGGAACCTCGTGGAGAACCTTGTGGAGAGCCTTGTGGGGAATCTCCCTGAAGTTGTTGGACTGTCTGAATTTCTGGGTTTCCTTGAATGTTTTTATTGTTGTTCGACATGATTGATGCAATCAAGAAAATTAGATTGAGATATGCTTGATTATCAGATTCCCGGTAACGGAACCAATTTGTTTAACCAAAAAATGGAATTTCGGTTAAAACTAGAAATTAAGAGAAAAAATCGGGTTACTGATAATCAGGAGATGAAAAGAATAAGGAATTTTTGAGAATAATAAAGCAGTAAAAATAAATTTGTATTTCAATGTAATCTCAATGATATTTTGTGTCCTTACAAATGTTGAGATCTCCTCCTTTAATATTTGATTTTTCTAGGAAAAGGTATAATGTCTCAATCTTAAAGAGGCAATTATGAGTATTAAATGACATTAAATGAAACGTTACACAATCATTCCTATTCAATGTTGATTCGCTAACGTATTTGACATTTAATACTGAATTTAGACTCCTTTATGCTATCAGATTCATATCTTCAATTCCTTCTGACCTCCTAGCTTTAATTAAGTTAAATAGATACGAGACTCGTATCATTTGAATAGCATCTCGTGCCTATTTAACTCTCTTCTTTTCGTATCTGATATCGCCCGTGCCCCTCAATTGATCATCATGTTTTGACCATTTGACCAGTCCACGTGTCATGCCACGTCACCTTCAATATAAATTCAGTTTTTTCCCAATACACGCGTACCGGACACCGGGTGGGAAACCAAAAAAACAAAACTCCTTCGGGATTGCACTTTTTTACTTATACATTTTTTTGTTTTTTTCTCTTTCTTCTTGCTTATTATTGTTATTTCTTTTTGTCATTGATTTTACAAAACTTAATTTAAGTGTAAAGTTGAAGAAAAGAAAATTTTCTTTTTACTTAAGCATTGAAAGTTAAAATAATTTCAACAAAAAATAAAAACTACGTAATAAAAAATGTTTATAAAATTAACTAAATAATAGAGTACAACAGAAAGGACAACATAGTCAAACGATAACTTTTTACTATTATGAAAAACAGATTAAAATTATTGTTAATAAAAAATTAAAATAAAGGAGATAAATATAATATCGTAAATCACAAGGAAGATTAGTGTTAAAAATTCAAATATGAGAGGATGTCTCTAAAATTACCTCTTTTTTATTAATTATTTAAATTATATAGAAAGTCTTAATATTTAAGAATTTAAAATCAATTAAAAGTTTAATTACTTAAAATAGTATTATTTTTTTATTTCAATAACTATTTCATAACTACAGTTGCTTCCATGTTATCCATGTAAAGTATATATTAAAACTATAATACTTTTCTATTTTATAGTTGAACTACTTACCTGAGAGAGAGAGACAGAGAGGGAGAGAGAGATGGTTGGCCGAATCAATAACACTAATGATTATGTAAATGCAAAAATTCAAAAATAAAATATCAAATCGACTTTTTACCCTTCATAAATAAAATTCTTAATGGATAAAATTATATTATAGTTAAATTTATAAAACTTTAAATGGACTAATATTTAGAATTTGAGTCAACAAAAAAATCAATTATTTCCTCTACTATTGAAAATTAATTGGTAAGTCTTTGATTAACTAATAAGCGAAAAATCCAAATCAATTTTTTTTTTCAAAATTCATCATATAAATAATTTATTTTTAAACTTACAAAACTCTTAGAATATAAAAATTTATTTCCACTTTAAGAGTAAAATTGGTAGGAGATATAATTTTGAAGCAATAAGAATGAAATACTAGAAGATAGAAGGTGTCATTAACTATTTTTCTTTTTCTTTGCACATCAACAAATGACAATTCCCTACGAGTTTTCGACTAAAATTATCCCTTATCTATGGGAGTAGGTTTATTTTAGTCCTTCAAATATAAACTAGAGCATCTTTAATCCTTTAACTTTGCTAAACTAGAACACCTTTGGTCTCACTAACCTCACCAACTTAAAAACTAACGGAAGGGGCAAATTTTCTAACGGTGATTGCCTGAAGCTTCTCAAATGATTTCCTTATGGGTTCTGCAAATTTGAATAGTTCAAAATAGTAACATCCCTACCTTTACCCAAAGAGTAATTAATGTAGGAAACATATCTTTTTAAATTAACTATCCTAGGTAGAGAATTCAACTAACAGTGTTCTCCTTCTTTCTTGATTGAGGCACGTTTTCTTTCTTCTTGCTTCTTCATTTCTTAGGTCAAAATAACTTATAATTAATGTGCAGGACTTATCAGAATCAATAGTGCAAACCATTATTTTTTCTGTTTACAAAGTTAGTTTAAACTTCATATGCTTAATCATCTCCACTTACTGGACACATCAAAAGCAATAGTAAAACCCAAACCAAAATAAATATTCATTGAACTCATCTCCTTCACAGAGAAATATGTTAAGTTTCTGAGAAATATGTTATAATATCCCTTTACATCAGTTAAACCAAAATGAAGAGTTACTAAAATCAACTCTTTTACGTCAGTCTTTTAGCGATACAAAATAACCCTTTCATGCATATCAAGCAATCCCAACCGTCTGCTAGGCATATCAACCTATTCATATAGTCTTCAACAGCAATTCCAACTCTTTTTCACCAATCTTCACCAGCAAAAAATAACCTCCTACAGCAGCAACAACCAATCCTTTTAAGCAGAAACTTACATATCAAAAAATATATCTCCAATCACTCTACTTTCTTGAGTTGCTTTCATATGGTCCTGGCTAGCAGGCCCTCTTCTTACCTACAATAAAGAAAAATATTATCGTTACCGTATCCCTAATATAATTAAATAAAGTGATATGTGTAATAAACTCATACCGGAAGCTTTACAGGAGGAGAAGATGCAATAGGAAATGAGGGTTCTTGTCGCACCGTCTCATCATCATAAGAATCTGGATACACACGATTTAACTTGCAGGTTCTTTTGGTATGACCTGGATTATGGCATAAGCTACAATCTAATTTTGTTTGCTTCCTTTTCATTTTTTGTCTACTTGCTCCAACTTCATCAGGCTCTTTTTTGCGAAGCTTTTGTCTTCTTCCTTTGGTACTTTGTCTTTCCTCGTGGAGGCAAAGGAGGAATGTTATTCGACTTAGGCCACATCTCTTGACCATTCATAGGTAGAATAGAAAATCCATAGATCATTCTATAAGTTTCTACCTTATAACAATCATCCACATATGAATTAATGTTATCATGTTTAGCCCAAATCGCGGCAATGACATGCTTGCAAGAAATTCCTGTTAGATCCCATTTCCTGCAACTGCATTTTCTATTTAGCAAATCCATAGCCCACTTGTTCATTATGCTTGCTCCTATTATCTCATAATTCCACTCATTTGATTTCCTGGGAATAAATTCAGCTGCTTTCGCTTGATTTTTGTGCAATACATCCTTAATCCTGGGGCAAATATCACCATCATTCCACTCGGTACCTTTATCCCTATTTGCTTGCATCCTTGTCATAAGGTGATACCTTAACTTCTCCAGTAAAGTGATAATCGGCTTATCTCTAGCCTCAATGATCATGCTATTAAAACATTCACACATATTATTGAGTAAGGTATCGCATTTCACAATTTCAGGAAAGTGAGATTTAGACCATTCAGTAGGCGACTTCTTCTTGAGCCAATGAGCAGCTTCTGAATCTATATCAAAGATGTCAACCATGCAATCCTCAAACCACTTTACTGTTGTAGCCTTTGCAGCCTTCCAAAGGGCATTCCTGAGTGAGATACTACTGAATCCGGCCCTCTTGAAGTTGTTATGGAGGTGTCTCACACAGAATCGATGACTAACATATGGCAATACCTCATTGAACGCTTCAATCAAACCTTTTTGCTTGTCTGACATGAAGGTCCAAGTACCATCATCATCAATGTCTAAGTCAAGCTTCAAATAATTCAAAAACCATTCCCACGATTCCTTTCTTTCCTTCTCTACAACTGCATATGCTATCGGAATGATATTGTTATTCGGATCAAGCCCAACAGCAGTTAACAATTGAGTCCCATACATTGGACCCTTAAGCCAACAACCATCCACCCCAATTATTCTCCTACAACCGCTCTTAAACCTATCTTTATAACCACTAAAACAAATATAGATTCTTTGGAATCTCTTAGGCTTGTCGGGCACCTCATTTTCAACCAACTTCATATAGACTGATGTATTTGGATTTGTCCTCCCAATTTCATTGCAATAGTTCCACAATACCTTGTATTGAGCATTAATATCTCCATCAATCAGCGCAAATGCTTTTTTCTTAGCCCTTCTGCATTGTGATAATGTCACTTGAACTCTAAGTTCCACACTAACGTGATCTCTGAATGCACCGATTGCCCAAGACCTATTTGAGCTTATGGCCTTAAGATATCTTTGTGCAATATAAGAAGATGTGATTGCTTTGTTACGGTGGTTCCAAATCTTACAATCATGAGTGGGATTGTATGTTCTGATCTGAAATGTTCTATCTCGATGCATTCTTGAAGCTAGAATCTCCCATTTGCAATCTGGATAACCACAAGTTGCTCTCACTCTCGAGTTATCATTCTTGCACCACTTAATGTACTTCCCTTCATTAACTTCATGAGTTATTACAGCATATTTGAACTCATGCTTGTTTTCAAATGTCAATTCTAATGCCAACACTGGTTTATCCCCGTCTGTTTTAGGATTGAACATCGGAAAGTTGAAACTCTCACTGTCAGAGTCACATTCTAAACTCTTTGTATCATCCGAGTCAACGCAATCTGTATCACCTTCTTCAGCAGCCATTTTTTTCTTAACTTCTTCACTAACTTCATATATATGATTCACATTTTCATTATCATCTGAAAAATCATTTTCTGAATCTTCAAATTCATCATCAGTCGAAGAATGCTCGCTATGTACTTCTTTCTCTTGTTCTGCTCCACTAACTTTATTAGTATGTATAGTTTTTCCAATATATGAATCAAGATGTTCAAATTACACTTCAACCACCTTATGATCGAGAATATTTTTGGATATAATAGTGGCTTCTACATCAGTAGAAACAGGTCGCATTCTATTCCCGTACCTCCCGCACTTGTGCCAAAAAGTAACAGAATCTCTCTCATAACCACATAGTTCTGCCATAGATTTGAATTGCGACAGCTTCAACTCCGTATGGTTAACATAATCAATAAAATCTACACGACCCCCAAGATAATATCTGCTAGGCTGAAGCTTCATCGTACCACCATGTGTTACTTTTATACTGAAAAAAGAAGCCTCGTATGCAGGGTCTGCCAAAAAAATTAAATTTATGTTAGACCTTTTTCTAGTGGACACGTACAGAGTAATTTTATAAGAAGAAAAAGACACGTTAATATGGGTGGAACTAATTCGCCAACGATTAAAAAAGAGAGATAAAAGATTAGCATGTCAGAAACAACTTTTTTATTCCTTATTGTTTGTCTCTATTCCAATATTTTTTATTCGAAAAGCTACTACATATCACTGCATTGCACGAAGAATAGGAGAGATTTAATCTACTAACTTTATTATAATACAATGAAGCTGTCATGTGTTATATAATAATCATTAAATAAACTAAAGAATGAGAAATTGAATCAACATACAGTAAAAAAATCAAAATTTCTTCAGTTTGATGAAAATCCAAATAGTATTTCTTGCTAAAATCTTACCATAATTGGGTATTTCACTACCATGACATCTAATAATCATTGCTGGAGATCAATAAATAAGCTTCTTCACTTTGAGTCCTCTTCTTGTTTCAGTCATCCAAGCTTTTTTGAGAGGCTAGGGTTTTTGGTAATGGATTTCTTTGTCGATGGAATTGAGGGAAAATTGCAAATGGAACTGGTGGGTTTAGCATTTTCCAAAGTCACGTGAGTGTCACATGGGTTAGCACCGTTAGTTTTTAACTTGATTCTGTTAGTAGACCAAAGGTGCTCTAGTTTAGCAAAGTTAAAGGATTAAAGATGCTCTGGTTTATATTTTAAGGACAAAAATGAACCTACTCCCATAGATAAGGGATAATTTTAGTCAAAAACTCCAAAAAAGTCACAGAAAGAATACAGAAGAGACGATATGTATTCAGTTTTACCTTATCAAATTCACAAAGAACACCACGTGTAGGGCCAGCAATACAGAGTCAGCTTTACGGATTAACATGAACTTACAAAAATACCCTCAAATTAACTATTAATTCCAGGTAAGCACACGTGTTGACCAAGAGGAGAGTAGCCTGTATTCGCTCTTATTAAGAAGTAGGACTTATGATTTGCCTTAGATGATAAATTTTAATATATATATTTTTTAAACAAATTATATTATTAAGGGTTAATTAATTTGCTAACAGATAAACTTGAAAAGACATATATCTGAAAGTTGCAGGAGGAATATATAGGAATAGAACAATTAAAATTAAATAATTAGGGCGGCTTCACATTCTAGAGGCTAGCAATAATTTCTACTTCGAGAAGCCGCCTTATGCTTTTTCTGTTTGTCACTTATTGCCTATTCTCAGTTAGGCAGAGATAATTACAATTTAATTATAGTTAAACATCTAAGCTGGATACTCAGCATTACAATGTTTCTGGAAGCTGTACGTAACTAATTAGATTTTAACTTATATACACGACAGTAAAAAAGAAATTTTACATTTTAGCAACCCATGTTGACTACAAATTACCCCTAAATAGTTTTCAAGTGACGTGATAGAATTTTTATTTTTAAATTTTTACATTTTTAATATATATTGGTTAAACTTAGGTAAGAATTTAATTTATATATACAAACAGTATAAGATTACGCTAACCTTATTATTTTAAATGTTATTACATGTCATTTATTTATATTTTGCATATTATACCATATAATAGTTTGTTAAAAAAATTACATGCAATGACTTTAAGTGACGAGATATGTTTCATTATCGGTATATATAAGTTAACCTCGAGCAAATTAAAGTTCGTATAGGAATTTGGTCACCTTAGGTATTTGTCCTAATTTTCTTATCATTTTGGTATTTCAGTTCCTCGAAGAAAGAGCAACATATTTATCATAATTGATTCTTCCTTTTACGAAAAGCAAAATTAATTCTTTCATATTTGGCTAATTTTTTTCTTGGAGAAAAATGTTTTGTACTGTATAAATTGAGGATCATTTTTCTCATTCAATAGTGTCCACAGTATAGCCTAAAGGGAGTATTGTTTAGGGGGAGAATTTCGAGACAAGTGTTAGCCTATCACCTGTGGTTTGCCTCTTTGTGAGGTTGTTGTCTCGATGTTTTATACTCTCTTTTATATAGAGGATTGCTCATCTCTGCCTGTGGACGTAGGTCAATTGATTGAACCACGTTAAATATTTATGTCTCTTTTGGTAGATTTCTCTTTTGTTGTCTAATTTATCATCGTTCAAAATTTGCTTTACTAGCTGATGATAGGCTATAATTGCATATTTTAGTCGCTTATTACACTCGAATTTACTGCACTTTAATTGAGTTTGCGCTTTAATCGCTAGTGTTTTGCACTAATTGTGTGTTTTATGCCTTGTAGGTGTGATTTCGAGCTATATAGATGTTATGGAATGAATTTAAGTGATTTGAAGCTTTGAAGTCTGAGTAAAAGCTCAAGGAATTAAGCCGGGATCGTGTTCGGGGGTCAAATTTGATAATTAAGTACGAACGAAGACTTGAGGAGGCATATTGCGCACTGTCTAGTAAAATAGACATAACTTTTTGCTCAGAACTCCATTTGGGCTCCACAATATATGGTTGGAAACTAACTCAAAGGGCTACAACTTTCATGTTTTACGTTTTTCCAAATTCCAAACGGAACAGGGTGAAAAACCGCGGTTCCACCGCGACCGCGGCAGAACCGCGGTAGAAGATGGTCGCGGACAACTGAAGAATCAAAGGGCATGTTTGGCCGCGGTTCCACCGCGACCGCGGCAAAACCGCGGCAGGAGGCTGAAATTTCAGGGACTTATGTGCAAAACACGGGATTTTAAGCCCTAAACCCTATATTAAACCAAGGAAGCCGGCCAAGAAAGGGGAGGAGGACATATTTTGGACATAAATTAGACGTAAGGAGGCAGGGGGACATACTTTAAGGTTAGACAACACCCTTGGAGGCAAGAACACATTGGGAGCAAGGCGGAGAATTCTTCTACGAGTTTTTTCCTTCCTCTTCCTATTTTTTTCATTGTTGGTTATGACTTTTAGTATTGTAGTTTTACATACTATTATGAATAGCTAATTTGTTATCTAGAGTTTTGATAGAACCTTTTGTAGGATAAATTCTTGTTATGTTTTTATATAATTGAGCCATAGCTTTTCTCTATTTGTTCAACTACGTTTATATTCTGGTTGATTGAAGAGCTCTCAATTAGCTGTGCCTATTTAGTATGCATAACTCGGGAGAGAGTGCATATTTAGGTAATTGTTGAACAACACCACTCCCAGAGTATATGAGGGATCAATAACCGAGGGTTTAAAGGCGGGATTAGGGATAACGAAGCCTTGGGTGCGATATGAAGTGAGCTGTATTAAAAGCCAGCTAGCGTAGCTCGGGAGATTGCGTCTAGTAAATTGTCGTAATTACTCGGGAGAGATTTACGGCAATAAAAGTGCTCATGATCGGTAGAGAATACTTAGGCGAAATTATAGAAGACATAGCGGGAAGGATTCCGACAATAGGGGAAATCATAACTCTAGACCTCCTTAATCTTTTCTCGAATCCTCAGTATCGTCAGTTGTTAATTTACTATTTTAATTTGTTAGTTAAGTAGTTAAACACAAGAATCTTAATATCTATAAGTTAGGAATTGTTCAAGCTTGTCTTCTTGGTGATAGTGAACAACTGTAGCTAAACCTTAGTTCTCTGTGGGATTCGACTCCGGACTTGTAAACCGGATTATATTTGCAGCGACTGCTTAGTTCTTTTTATAAGGCATAGTTATGCGTGATCACTAGCTTCCACATTACACCTGATTATTTTGATCCTAACACTTTATATTTACGCTAGCAACTTTTCTTGCATGCATGGTCATGCAATAACTTTCATCTATTCCTCCTTTCATGGAAATTTATATATTACTTTTCATTTTCAAGCACGTTTGTCTATTTTATATTTTCTCGGAAGTTTCATTCCAATAAGAGCTTATATCCAATGTCATGTATATATACCTTCCGAAATTTCAAGATTCACTTAACCCTAAATTGCATTAAATTATACTTTGCTCACTGTCCGAATAGTTCACAATTCTCTTAAGCCACCCTCTGATATATATGATATAGATTAAAAGAAATGGAAGAAGGCAAGAAAGGGCAGAATCGTCCAAGAAGAAGAAATAAAGCAAAAGAACCAATGAAGGTGAAATATATTTCCAGTCCTGTTATGGTAAATGCCAAAAATGCTACTGAATTTCGCTCAATTGTTCAAGAACTCACCGGAAAGAGCCCCGAGAGCGGCAGCAGGACGGTGGTTGGTGGCAGCGGCAACGGCGGCGGCGGCTGGCCTAGTGATAATATTGAGGCAGTTGAGTGTTCAAGTATCAAAGCACCTATGCATGAAATTGATAATATTAATGATGACTATTTTTGGAAAGAATTTTCAGAGAGCTTATCTGTATTTCAGTATCCAGATTATTAATCTATTTTACTGTTAATTTTTTTTTTTTTTTTTTTTTTTTGGTTTTCTTCCATGATGGCATTTCTAAGATAAATCAGGCCATCACTGTATTATAAATATATCCAACAATATGTTACACTTCTGTTCTTCATGTAA